GGCATGCCGAGGGACACAGCGCTCGGCAGCTCAGCACCCCAGCACAACCATGAGGCACCTGGGGCTGCAGCTCCACCGTGCGCAGGCAAAATTCAGCAACTTTTTCAGATTACACTGCTACACAAAATAAATAAAGGATTGCTAAGCTCTATAGCAGGTCTAATGATTGTTGGCCACCATCTAAGAGAGTGGCGCTGCTAATTGTTACAAGAGACATTTGTTATTTCCTTCTGAAGCTGAACTCAGGAGATTTTTTGTGTAACAATACAGGACTTGAAATAAACCACGTTTGAAATAGACAAAATATAATTATCAACTCATAAAAACTAAGGGATATAAAGAGCATAGTTTATACAAAAATAAAGTAGCATTTAATAATGGGCTAGGGACTGAAGGCTGAGCAGAACTAATGGAGTAGCATGTCTAAAGAGATCCCATTGAAAAATTTTTCATCATATATTTGTTTACTTATTAGCAAAAACTAAAACAAAATCAACATTTATTACTTGGCAAACAGGGTTTGTAACATTTCTGAGGGGCTGTTCTACTGTAGATGATTTGTTCAGACCTGGGGTAGGTACTACAATACATTGCTTTTGCACAGAATTCCATGTTTTGTTATCCTAAAGAGCCTAAAGTAATGGTAATAGCCTAGCTCAGCAGAACTCTCTGACCTGGCTTTGTGACATGCTGCTCAGTGTTAAACTGCAAAAAGCAAAATGCAAAATCTGCAGGACTTGTAACCCCCAAACCTACATGGGAGCAGAATGAACATGGCTGATTGATAGAGCAGTGACAGCACAGACAAACATCAGTGAGTGGGAGAAAGAAATCAGAAAACAGCCATATACTTACCTGGCTGTTGCCACTCCCACCAGAATAAATGGGCAGCTTTTTTTCTATTCTAAAACTCAGATCCTTAGAAACCAAGAAGGAAAGGACATGTGCTGAATGAAACTAGCTAGAGATTACTGGATCCTGTTAAAATCTGGAAATGAACGTTTAGTTGCTTTTTAAAATGCTATCTTAGCTTCAAAGGCATTCTTTGGGAGATTATTTCAGAGGAGATCTGTTGAACATTTTTTATCAAATGCTATCCAACTGACCACCTTTGTCATAAGCTAGAACCCACCTGTGGTTCTCAGGCACAAGCAGTAGCACTGAGCAGTTCCTCTCTATCAACACAGGGCATTGCTACCTTCCTCAGAAATACCCTGACACCGGCCACACTTCCCCCCACCAGGACTCTCAACAGGTGAAATGCAAAGGTAAACAGAAACCAATTTTGAAGCAAGGAGGGGATGATTTTTGATTTTGAAGCAAGGGGGATGCATTGTGCACTTTAAGCATTTTGGTAATGACATACAAAACCGATACAGAAAAATCATACACTGACCAAAATAATGTAGCACCCCGAGATACTGATGCTTACAATCCAGAAGTGATATAAAAAAACCATGGGTAAAAATGTGTTAATTAATGTACAACACCATGGAATATACTGAACAAGTCACGTGCAACATCAGCAACTTGCTTGTTGCACTTGCCTTTGAGTGGGGAAGGGCATGGGGAACTGTTGCTGGCATTAATAGTTAAGCATCATGACATTTCTGAAATACTTTTAAAAATCAGTTGTATGCCCAAGGCCTTCTCTGCCAAAGATGACAAGAATTTGTTTTATTTTAACAGAATTATAAATTAGATCTCACATGTCTGGCCTTTTATATATGGTAAATTTCATACATGAAGGTGGCATCCTATATACAGTAAAACAATTTTTTCTCCTGGCTCTTATTGTGCTGATTTTTTTTTTAAATGAAACTCCCTTTTATTGATTGTAACTATGTGTTCTTCAGTTATTTAACTGTCTAGGATCCTTTTTATTTACAACTTTTCAGTTTTACTCTCAGTTTTAAAAAGTTTAGGAAAAGCTCAATCTGAAATCGACTCAGTATAAAAAGATGTTATGGAAACAGCTGCCTAAATGCTGTTCCTAGAGTCCTTGCCCATCCAGGAGGTACCTAGCTATTTGCATATAGGTAATTATTAAGTAGCACAGTATCTGCTCATCTTACATACACTGAAGGCTATTGAAACGGGCAGAGAGTCATCACACTATTCTCAAGCTAAGGTGTCAGAATAATTGTTACTATAGATTCCAATTCAGTAACATGCTCTGTATGACCTAACAAAACATACAAAAAGGTTATTTATCTCTTCTGGATGACGAAATCATGTGTCAATCTAGAGTGTATCCACATGTTTTAATGGAACAGCAATTAAAGGACATAGTATGCTTATGTTTCAACTTTTCCATAAGTTCCTTCTGGAGGCCTGTAATACTTTGGGAAAGCCTTCAGTTGCAGGGAATTAAATGCATACTTGCGACATCCAACATTCTTCATTGTATTTTCTCGGCGACAACCCTCACTGGGGAAAAAAACAAGCACAAAAAATGACAGCAGTAAAAGGGAAAAAAAAAGAAAAAAGACTTAAACTAAGATGAAATGAACTGGTTATTTTATAGCATTAAAATAAAGTTGGTTATATTTAATGAGCGTTTAATTAATTTGCCACTGCAAATATTAAAAGAGATGATTCATCATACAATGCCAGTAAGAAGCACACAGAATGGACACAAGCTATGTTTGATTGCTAGTTTTGCATTTCTAGAAAGCAGCAGCACATCTACTGAAAAGGTTCTTTTGCTGTATTTCACAGTTTCATGTATTTCAAGGTACACTTTTGTGGAGTTCACATGCCATTCACTGCACAAGGGATCCCAAGGGATTGCTTAAAAGCAGTTCTGCTAATTTATTAACACATAAAGCTGAAAAACCAAACCTGCTGATCTCTCTATAAGAGATTTAAAGTAATTTTATTGTTCCCTGTATGTCAGTATTATAAGTACTTACTTAAAGATTAGAGCTGATACAAAAATAATGTATGCCTTTCTAGTTATCTCTGCATGCATAAATGGACGTGAAAACCAAAGCAATCTAAAAAAATGTCCTAATCATGAAATAGTGCAAAAAAAGACTGGCTGCACTGACAGTCATCACTCCAAAGAAACAAAGCTGTGCAGAATTTAATTTTCACCCAATATTTTGGTGCAACTGCCCCACATTACAAAGAGGTTCTGTGCTACAATAGAAAACTACTCCAGTTATAAGGCTTCTTTACACTTGTAAATCTAATCCAGAGTTCCTTTGATTATATCCAAAAAAACACACATACAAAGAGGAAGCACTATCTTTTAAATATGTATTATAAATCAATTTAGGCTTGCAGGAGAATTATTTTCCCTGATTGAGGACTGGGACCTAAACAATGACTACTAGACCTTCATGGCAACGTGTACAGTACAGCATCTTATGGTGGAAATGTCAGATTAGTCCTGCCTTGGAGATGCTGCAGCATCTACCAGGTAAGCTGTGATCATTTGATTCAAAAGGAGGGTTTGGATTCTGATTCAGTTTGAAAACTCTCGTGCTCTTACAGACCTCACCATTCTTCTAATTTTGGATCATGAAACTGGCTGTAACTGTGTTCTGTATGTAACGCCTAGTTTGACTTCATAAAATACAGTAATTTTTTTTTTTTTTTTTTTTT